GCCTCAAGGGTCAGACTGAGGTGTGGTACTGCCTGTGCACAAGTGGCGGGGGTGGTGGTGGGGTATCTCCGAGATATCCACCTTTTATAGGTCTTTGCCTTTCACCTGACCAGGTTGTAGCTTAAAGCCTCACCCTAACCTGTGTTTTGCTCTTGGGCCAGATGATACCATAGGCACCTGTCTGCCAATGAGGCCAAGAGCTGCTGGTGAAGAAGGGGTGTCTAGGCAGTGTCCTGGTGTGGGAGAGTCAGAGCATCCCTGGAGATGGTGTGCTCACAGTGCTGACCCAGGAGCCCAGCAAGATGCAGGGTATCTACTGCTAGCCACGTGTACCCTACACCATGATCTGTTTCCAGGTGTGAGACAGTGCAGGTAGGCTGTGGTTTTGAGAAGAGTAAGCTACAGTGTCAGGCCCCCCACTGCCACCCCCACAGCCAGTCAGGAAGTACAGCGTGGGAGGCAGGGAGCAGCTCCACATATTCTAACCTGGTGAGCACTAAAGAATGCCATTAATGGAGAACTCAGGAACTATTAAGCACCTCAAGAAAGTATGTGTCCCACACAAATACTGGTTCCTGAGCAGGATTCTCCTCATAGGGACCAGGAGTTGCTGTAGTAGAGTCCTAGGAACTAAATGATCAAGGGAAAGAAGGGTCTCAAAAAGACACCAAGTGTTGACCTGTCATACAGTGACCTCTCCCAGGAGTGGTGTGGGTTTGGAGCAGGGTGGCTTAGTGGAAATGCAAAAAAAAAGAGCTATCAGTATGGAGGGTGTTTTACTAGCTCTGTTAAGCTTGCAGTCTCTCCCTGCCAGCTTCTCAAGGCCAGGAGCAATAGCACCAAGAACCTTGAGAGCTGTGTGAGGGAGCTCCACAGCCTGAGAATGCTAGTGACATGGCCACACAGGGCTTCTGAGACAAGTTGGAGGTAGTCCCACCAGTATCTACCTTGGACTCTTGTCCTCTGGGGCAGGAGCAGAGGCCCAAGAATGTAGAATAAGGGGAGAAAGAGTATCAGTGGGGCCATACTGAAGCCTCCATCTGTTTAGACAGTATGGCAACAGGAATGCCAGCTTCCTTACTCCCACCACCTGGAGAACAAGGGAGACAGCAGCTAGAGAACAAGCTCAGGAATTTGCAAATATCTTCCTCCCTGCGAAGCCCAGGATTCTCCTTCAACATGTGCACATATGGGGCCCTTCTGGGAGGGATTTCCAGGGCACTATGTCTACATACTCGAACTTCTTAGACCTGCCCACTTATACTCACTATAGGTCAGTGGGCAAAGAAACAGTGTGGGCCCTTGAGCGTCTCACCTTCCTGGGAGACCTGAGCTACATCTCACCCCTGCCTGTATATAAGTGCACCCATGTCCTGCAGTGGCCACAGAGGAAGAAGAGGGCATTGGATCCCTTGGACTGGAATTACAGATGGTTGTTAGCTGCCATGTGGGTGCTAGGATTCAAACCTGGGTCTTCTGCAAGAGTAGCTAGTGTTCTTAACCACTGAGCCACCTCTCCAGACCATCACATGAAGCTTTGTGGAATCAGCAGGTAGATAATACTCATCCATTTCAGAGTGACCCAGAGCAGAAGGCATGCTTTGGAGTGGGCAGAGTTTACATGGCCATGCAAGGTTGTCTGTAGACCATAATGGCCATCTTCTGGGCCACAGTCCACCAGAACACATGAGTCACTGTAATACCACCAGATGAGGGGTAGGATTGAGGAGTCTTTTGAATCACGCTCTATGATGACTGGCCTAGGCTTCTGCTGGTCACAGATATGGCTCTTCCTGACTAGGACAGAAGTCTGTGGGATACTGGGATAGAAGGACCCTAAGAGATAAGTGTGTATCTCTGAAGAAAATGAGCAAGAGTGTTGACGGTCTGCTGTACAGGCTGATGTAAAGCACTATCCCCTAGTGCTTCCAATAATGGCCAGAGCTGCAACTTGCAACTGAAGGTGGCTGTGTATGTACAACATGGCTGAGTGCCAGGGCTAGGGATACTGCATGCAGGCGGACTATGTGAGCTTGGTTCCCCAAGTCTGTGCTGGGAATAAGGAGGTCCTAAGCTAAGAGACCTCCGTCTAACCCCATAAGAGCTAGTGGCCTCCATGTCCCTCAACCCGTTTGGTACAATCTAAGCCTGGACTCTGGTCAGTGTTCACAGAGGCCATGTTAATTTCAGGTCCAGGTCTCAGATCGCTGGCTCCAGGGCAGCCTCACTGACATCTGCACTCCCACTCATGACCTCCCTGGGCCACAACAGCTTCTGTATCCCTTTTGTATGAAGTGGAATCTATTTTTGTTCCAGGCACAGATTCTCAGCCCCTGCAGCATGGGGCTCCTCAAACAGAATTCAATGTCCCCAGTCTGGTCTTTCCCTCCTTCCCTAGACACCCATGATACTTAGGGTCTGTCGCATTCCGCGTCTTCCCTCCTGTTTGACTCTGGTCCATTCTCAGCCCCTCCACCTGGTCATTTCTGGCTCATCTCTGTATCCTCCCACGAGGGTCCCAGGAGTGCGTGTACGTGGTCTCATCTGCAAGCTCCACAGCTGAACAGGCTCCACTATGGCTGGAGAAGTCCAGCTGGAGCCCACTGACGCCCTAAGTTTCTTGGGGGAGGTGAACCTGAATTAGAGTAGCTAGCCAGAGCCAGACGCTGGAACCTAGTGTACTGTATTGCAAATCGGGCGTGAGGAGGGACCCACAGGGGTCCATGCAGGCTCAACAAGCCCCCTGGTTCATCCTCATAGCCCGGGTATTGGAGATACCATCCTTGCGATAGAGGACTGTATCCCCTGGCAGGCCCTGCTACTCAGACCCTACCCCTAGTCCCATCTCCCCTCCAAAGAACCGCCTTCCTCTCTAGTCCCGCCCACTGTCCCTTCGCGTCCGGTCTCCCCCCCCCCCCCAATTGGTTCCTCCCTTTGGGTCCCACTGGCTCAGCCCTCACCATTAGGTCCACTCTCTATCTACCGGTCACGCCCCCAGAGTCAGGTGGATGTGGCGCGCTCCGCCCTTACTGCACTGAGCCCTCAAGTCCTAGACTTCCTGAAAACGATCCGAACCCCGGGGCGGCGCTCCGGGCTGGTGCAGACTGAGGCTGGTGCTGGCTGAGGCTCAGAAGTTCATGTCTTCAGGCGCTGCAGCGGTTATCCAAGGCCAGAAGCTGCACCTGCGCAAACGGGCGGGACGGGGCGGGACCAGAGGACGAAAGTGTTTCCGCAGCCCTCCCCGCAGTCTGAACCTGGCCGCAGCCCCTACTCGCGTGGTACAGGCCATCGTGGAGGCCCCACGGGATCTGGGGTGGGATCACGCCAGGACTTGGCTGACCCACTACTCTACCCTCAGGACCGTGAACCAAAACCTGCTGCGCCTCAGGCGTGAGGGAAGCCCGGTGCGCCCCAGGTGCACTAGGGCCCTCCTGCCTGTGCTGCCTCTAAGGGCTGACTGTGACCAGAGCTGTGGGAGCCTCCTAGGCTCTTCAGTCAAGACAGGGCTGAGCAATGGGAGAGGCAATCGGAGATCCCGGTGTCCCCACCCGGTTTCAGGCACCCAGCTGAGATGTGGGCTGTGACCACATGTGAATCTATAAACTTCAATTGCAGCTACTCTGTGGGCCTGTGTGTGATGTGAGTGACAAAAAAGGATGGTCTGTGCCTGACAATCAGTGCTGGAGCCCAGCTTCCTTATGACCTGCACTTCAGTCCTGCCTGTTTCAGGGTGGTCTGGGATGTGGTTCTTGCAGTGACTCAGCCCTGTGACGGTCACATAGTGGATAAGGCTTGTGGAATGAAGGCATATGTGAGATACTCATGATCACATAGGCAGTCTCAAGTGTCTGGCCCTGCCAGTGACAAGGGTCAGGGTGGTCTGGGATGTGGTTCTTGCAGTGACTCAGCTCTGTGACGGTCACACAGTGGATAAGGCTTGTGGAATGAAGGCATATGTGAGATACTCATGATCACATAGGCAGTCTCAGGTGTTTGGCCCTGCCAGTGACAAGGGTGTGGCTCCACGTGTGTGCATTGTTATGTGTGAAAGTGCAATGTCATACTGGCCCTATGGTCCATGGAAGAACCCTCCCCCATCACAGGTGGTCTGTGGCTTTTTGGCACCTTCAGTAAAGTGCTGTGTTCTCTGTTCTGTGTCTACTGGGACTGGGGTCAGGGATGTGTGTGAGTCCCCACAGTTGAGCCCTGTACCTTCTTAAGCCTCCTCCCTGCCCTAGCCAAAGGCCCAGCTGGATGGAGCAGGAAGTATCTGTAGTACTTCCCAAGGGGTCAGAGGTGAGGAGGCTGAGACCTGCCTAAGCTGGAACTGGCCTGGGCACTCCTGGCCATGCCTGCTTGGTTGGTGCAGGATTCCTGTGGCTGATGGCAGAACTTGGGTGGAGATGAGGTGGGCAGGGCTCTGCCTCACCCTCATGACACTGCACTTTGCTGTTTCAGTAGCCAGCTGGCCAGGGGAGAGCTAAGGGTCTGCTGAAGAGCTCTATATAGTCTGTGGGTTTTCAGGCCATCTACTGGTTGTCGCCACCCCCACTTCAGATATACTTATCTCTTGGTTCCCATGGGGGGGTGATGGGTTCTGTAGTTCTCTAAATAGGGCTCCCAGCAGGTTCATGGGGTATAAGTGCCCAGGGTGGCTATGGTGGGGAATGAGGAAAGAAAAGGAACCCTTAGAAATGTTATGCTATGGTACAGGTGGTACCTCCACCTTGATTCTGCCTGCCCTGCCTCAGTGCTCTAGGGCTATCCCAGCTTCATGGTTTTCGGTAGCAACCAAGTCAAACTGTCCTTACCCTTGTAAAGCCAGAAAGGGATGAATGTTGGTCCCCCCAGGACTTTGATCATACTGTGATCCAATCAGGTCACCTGGGTCAGGCTTGGCTGATGAGGATGGGGATGGGGGATGGGGGATGGGGGTAGGAAGCTGTACACAGGGAAATGAAATTTATACAAAATAATTTATTTAAAAAATATATCATCCACAATGGTGCCAGGGACAGATGGGACATGCCTACAGTGGCCTGGGTTCAAGGAGTGCTCTGCCTCTTCATTTTCATTCCTGGTTCAGAGGACTAGCTACTCAGCACTCCCAGTGGAAGGTGCTAGACCTTCCCAGAGAAAGGACCAAGATAAGATCCTGGTGAACTGTCTCAAGAAAGGAGAGATGGTAAACTCCTGCCTTTTTGGCAATTCAGTGTGGTTAGGGAGGACAGGGACCTAGCCAGGTACTCCTGGTTCATTTCCCCATTTGTGGGTCTGGGTCAGAGGGGTGGTTTCTGGGGCCTTTTGAGGCCTGTAGTTCTTGGAGGCGTTGGGGACACTTTTATCCCCATTGGCACTCAGACCAGAGAGTGAGAGGCCCACATGGGTCCTCACTGGGGTCTTGGGGGACCAACTTCCAAAGCTTCTGTGCTCTTGACCTCAATGGGTCATGGATCTGTCTATGGAGCTGGTGGGGTAGCTGGCCTTGCCCAAGTTGAAGACCCTAGTTATTGGCTAGGGGTTCAAGGGAGAGGGCAGCAGTGGCAGCAGTGGCAGTAGTTGTAGGTGGCCGGTTGAGGCAGTGCAGGTTCCCAGTTTTGAGCACACACTGCACAGGCCAGAGCACCACACAAAACAACACCAGTAGCAGCACAGAAACCAGTGCTACACGCCGCCAGTCCCTACAGCGTGCCCAGCAACGGGCCAAGCAGCCCTGGTGGCCCTGGTGAGGGGCGGGGTCCTGGACAGGTGCAGGTAGAGTGGGCTCGGCCGGCTTGTTCAGGCCTACATCCACACACACAAAGCCAGTGGCCTCTCTGCCAGGAGTGGTGAGTGGTGGACGGCAGCAAAGCTTGGTGCCCTCAAGCCACACAGGCTCTTCCCTCTGCAGGTGCACTGGCATCTTGGCCTGCAGCTTGCGGCTGGTGCGCAGTGCAGGGGCTCCAGCAGCTGGCACGGCTGTAGGCTGCCGGCAGAATGGGCAGGGCACAGTTTCCCTGCCAGGGCGGCCTGCAGGTTGTGCAGCTGCCAGTCTGGCCAGGCACTCTAGGCAGAAGACATGAGTGCAAGAGAGCTCCTTGGGCGTCTTGAAGATGTTGTCGTAGCCTGAGAAGCAGATGGAGCACTCCAATGGGGAGGCTACCTTCTCTGAGCCAGGTGTGCTGGGGGACCTGGGGCTGCTAGCTGGGCCAGGAGACCTGGGCCCCGTGGCTGTGGAGCTCTGGCGGCGGGGTGGCATAGATGTGCACCACACCTGCTGGCTTGATGTCATTGTTCTGAGCTGTGAGACAGAGACCACCATGAGCTGGCCCTGTCCCTGGAGGTCAGCCTATTATTCTCCCTCTCACCCAGCATCAGCTCCAAAAATTTCAGAAGACACTATCCACCTGTAGGCACCTCCAAAATTCCACCCATGCCCAAGTTGTAACTTGTCCTCCTCTACTCATTAGAGGGTCAAGAGTCCCATGGTACCTCAGGCCTGGACAGTCCAGATGGCTCCAACAATAGATGCCCTGTGTAAGGGGGTATCACACTGATAGCCAGACACCTGTTGCCTACTCTTCCCTATGCTGATTTTGACAGTGACCCATTGCAGCTACTATTTGTGTCCATGCTCTGCAAGGCTGAGCCCATGTCACAGAATACTCATTAACAACTCTATATGAAGAAGGCAGTTCCAAGGTAGAGTGGCTTAGATAAGGTCTTCCAGACCAGAGCTGATTGGAAGCCAGGCCCTGACAGTCTTATGAGCTAAGCTCAGGATCAGGTGAACAGGTTTGAACTTGGGTCCCAGTGTGGGTGCCTGATTTAGATGGCATACATGAGTTGCCAGTAGCTGAGTAAGGTTTTGGGGTCTCTGGTGGAGCAGCTGGGGTCCATCTAGCTTGAGGAAGACAGGGAGGGTTTCAGTGGGGAGGGCCTAAGTTTTTACCCAGCTGCAGCCTTGCATCTATGGGGCTAGCTTGTATCTAGCAGGTAACAGACTGGTGCCAGAAGCCAGGGTTTAGAAATGTCCCTTAGCTAGTGGCCAAAGCCTCAGCCATGCTCTTCGCATGCCCCCTCCCAACATCAGAGTCAAGAGCCTGTCAAGGACGAACTGGAATGTGAAGGATCTACCACCTTCCTCTTTGACAGCATACACCAATTCCCTGACAGGAGTCCTGGAAATCCTGCTGATTACCTAGCAATACTTGCTAACCTCCCTTGGGTCAGGACTCATAGGGAGCCATATACATCCTGCTTAGAGAGTATTTCACTATAAAGATCCTAGCAGCCACACCAGGGGTGACCCCTCATCCTGCCTCACTGGTCAGCCCTAGATGGCTAATTAGAATGGCTCAAGGATTGCTGAATCATCACTGAGACTTTGTGAATCATCTGCTATCACTATGATGTTATGAGGGCTCTAGCCTCCTGGTATATGATGTTACAACTTCCTGGAGGCAGAAATGGTCTTGGCAGGGTCTGAGGGGACCTTGGAACTATCCTCCCTGAACCTGTGCTCCTCACAGAACTGATTCCTTGGTACCAGAGCTCACATTACATGAAGGGGCTCCACCCTGAGGCTGCATACATAGATCAAGAGTAAAGACAGGCTGAGCTGACCTTACCTGGTAGCTGGGGGTCAACGGTTCCTGGGCATGATCCTCTCCACTAGCCACTGCAAAGCTCTGAGTGTCTGACCAGCTGTAGCAGCGTTTGCTCCCTCTCCTTTGGGTTCAGCCCAGCCTCTGCTCCACCTGGTAGGTGTCCCTCCACGGGCCAGCAGCCAGCAGGTGTCCTGTGGCACCGGTCTGGTTGGCACACCCTCTCCTCTGTGTGTATGTGGGGATGAGGAGTGTGATGAGTGTGCTCATCCAGGAGTGGAGCTGGTTGACTGAAGACAGTGTGGGTTCTCAGGGCATGAGCTACAGAGCAGGTGTATTTATACCCTCCAGGTCATGGTGGCGAGGGGTGTGGTACTGGGCATCAGGGATTGGCTGGCCTCCTGCCCTCTCCCTGACAGGCCTAGAATGGGTGGGAAGCCATGGTAAGGGCTAGAACCAGGATGGGTCTGGGGTCCACATAGGCCCCTTGGCTTGGGGGTTCCAGATTGGGAGTAGATGCTCAGGTACTCAGAAAAAGCCCCTCCCCCTTGGAAAGCAGGTTTGCCCACTTGGTCTCAAGTCTACCCAGCAGGGACCCTTCACTGAGCGCAGCAAACACTCTCAAACACAGTCCAGTCTGCCCCATCATCACCCTCTCCCTGTCTACCTGTACCCATTAATGCCTTGCATATCTGCCCCTATCTTATCTCTGCCCCTTCCCCTCCCATTACACTTATGTTCTTACAAGTGCTTCACAAACATCCCTCATCTGCTGCTGCTGTTGCCTTTGGGGAACTCCCTGCTCTGGGGTCCAGGACGTTGGGGTGAGAGGTCAGGGCTGGGCAACATCATCAACACCCAGACTGGTCACAATAGATTGTGAGTACCTTCTGGGGCATACTACAGGGCAGAGGAAGTCACAACCCAGTCAGGTAGGCTTGAAATGCTGGGGTTTCAGAGTAGCTTTGGCCAGGTGGGACAGGACTCTAATAGAAGGAAGGTTTGATCAACAGGGCTGGTACCCAAAAAACACTGAGGGCTCGGGTGGGGAGTGCCACACTGGAGTTGGATGGATTGGGGACTGTGGCCAACAGCACAGGGAGCTCCTGGAAGCCCCTCCCATTTTGTTCCTGGATGTGGGGAGTCTCAAAGGCAATGATAGGGCAAATGTTCTATCAAACAAGAGGACCTGAGCTCTGGAAGGGGGATTGAAGCTCTCCTGCCTGTTCCATGAGTACTAGGAATCAGAAAGGGGGCCCAGCCGGGCGTGGTGGCGCACACCTTTAGTCCCAGCAGCACTTGGGAGGCAGAGGCAGGCGGATCTCTGTGAGTTCAAGGCCAGCCTGGTTGACACAGTTGAGTTCCAGGTCAGCTGGGGCTACAGGGAGACCCTGTCTCAAAAAGACAAAAAAAAAGGGGGGGGCCCATGGAGGAAGTACGGAGAGGGTATGGGGGCCCAGGGAGGAGAAAGTGCCTAAATGGTATAAGGTCCAAAGAAAGAGATGGGGTCCTTTGAGGGGAGCTCCCCCAGGTCCCTGCCTTTCTGTCATTAGGGAGTTGGCTAGGGTCTGGGCTAGAAGGCCTGGGCTATGAGAGGTCTGATACATTCCTAAGGCCTCACAGCACACTTGCCTCTGGGCATTGACTATCCACTGGGTAGCCCTAGTGATCTCAGAGCTTGGATATTCCCAGGAGCCTTCTGGAGATTGTTCCCAGAGCATTTGGGACTCCAGCTTCCTGGAGGTAGCATGTGACACACAGTCACTGCTCACAGAACACTTGGGCTGGGCTCTTAGTGCCTGTTACCTCAGAGGCCCTAGGGGTCTCCCTGGATAAGGCCCTCATTGACCTCTCCCCTGCTCCAAAGTGATCATAGCCTCTCAGTAGTACTCCAAGACCAAACCTGTGTCAAAGCCCCACTACTAAGGTTGCAGACCTGGCTGCAAGTCACTATGTGCTGCCGGGAGACAAAGGATGGCTAGTGCAAAAGGTCCTCCAGTACCCACCCAGGCTTTTCTTAGGTTCTCAGCCTTGGGTCCATCCATCATCTCTGCCTGCCTGGTGTTTGGAGTTCTGCTGACCACTCTCCTGTCCCCCAAACTACTGACATGGAAGACTGGCCGTACATTCTCACTTGGTGCCAGCTGCCCTAGGGCTGGAATTCCTTCCTACAGGCCTTCCCTGGCTGCTGCCAATTTTCCTTTCCACTTCGTATCAGAAATCATACTGGGGAACTCTGGACTCCCACTAGCTTCAAGGTCCCTCAGGCTAGAGCACCCCCACCCTACTGCAAGCCCTGGGGAGTGTCAAGTTGCTAAGCAAAAGTATGCTAGGTTAGACTCTCTCATGTAGCTCATATTGTTCCTCACATTCTCTCTCCACAGCAAGGTACCTGGTCCCCAGAACAAAGTGGGTCTGGAAGTATACACTGCAGCCTGGCAGATCTTACTCCCCAGCACTTCTCTGGGGTGCAGGCCCAGGGCAGAGGGATGCTGTCTGGATGCCTTAGAGGCCAGGTTTCAGCAGATGTCTCAGGATACAACCCTCCAGTCAGTATGTAGAGACATCCAGAGCAGGCATAAAGCAAGTGCACGACTCCTAGAATCCCTATGCTCTTGCTCAGCCCTCCATGGCTAGTCCCACCACCAGTTGGCAAACATCTCCACATCCACTCATGGGTCCTGGAGTGGGACAACCAAGCTAGGTTTGGGTGGCCGACACAAGGCCCTATTTTCTCCAAGAGTGGCCTTTGGTCCAAACTGCCAGTACTCTCCACAAAGCCTTGTTAGATGTTTGTGGTCTTATCTGTAGGACCCTGCCATGCTTAGCTGCTCTGTAGGAAAACCTCAAAGAGGCACCTTCAACCTCAGGTCCTAAGGGACTGGGGTGGTCTCCTCATACAAGACAGTGTCCTGAAATAGGTTACATATGGAATGGGTTCTGGCTGAGGACACGTGTGGGATAGGTTGTGCTTACTGCCAGTCCCATCAATCAGACACTCACTAGGAGGCAGGGTCTGGATCCTACTGAGGGACTGTTTTCCACCTCCCTGATTCCTTGTCCCCTGAAAATGACAGTGGGATGGGTGGCCTCCAACGCTGAAGAGAACAGATGGCCCCTGGGATAGTAAGAAGGCTAGAGGACAGAAGCTCTAGTCTTAATAGTTTACTTGACCTAACTTTGAGTCAGTGGCTACTGCCTGAGCCACTGGTTCAAGGTTGGGGAAGCAAGTGCCTATCACTGTCAGCAACAACACGAATGGTGAACTCTACATGAGACAAGAGCGTAGGACGCTCTGGATAGTCAAGCTGCTCAGATGTGGATTAGATGTTGAAAGAGATGCTAGACATTCTAGGCCCACACAGGGGAGGGTGATATTTGTCACCAAGGCAACTTCTTCCACCAGAGCACATGGTCAGTACCACTAGCCAGATTAGCAGGTACAGCTAGGACAGGAACACTGACCAGCATACCCACTGAGATTAGTAGCCTTCAGAGTTCAGATATATTTGCCATATGAGTAAACATTTCTTTGTGAGTGCCCAGCTTGAGAGTCTGCTGATGAGGAGTCTGACTCTGACAGACAAGGTTCTGCTGGGCTTTGGGACCAGGAAACCCAGGACACTCAATTCTGCATCCTCCAGAAATGTATGACTTTTGGGGTTAGCAGCTAAAGAAGCAGGCTGCACTGGAGCCGCTTACATCAAGTATCAGCACCTAGGCTGTTTCTACCCACTGGCTAGGCCTTGTTTTTACTCTTCTTAGCTTGGTGGTGCTGTAGAGTCCTGTCCACCATAGGCTCCAAAGGTCATCATTTGTATCAGGCCTATGTTGTGGCTGTTACAGCTACTGGAACTTAATTGTGACTTCTCTAGGGCCCAGACTCCGCATGCCTTGCTCTTGAGCCCCTGGGTCTCACAAAGCGATGGTTGCCCCTTTTAAACCACACAGTGTATACATATGTAGGGTGTGTGTGTGTGTGTGTGTGTGTGTGTGTGTGTGTGTGTGTAAAAAAAGTGTAACAGAAGAATCTCATGTGCTAGGGTGAGCATCTGTCTGTTGCTGAAAGTCAATTCCAGCCTATCTTAAGTCCCAGGCCCTCTGTTTGCTGGGCTCAGTGAAGGGCGGCCTTGGGTTTCTGTTGTTGCAGGGTGGAGTCTCAGTTGGCTCTCCAGGTCAGACGTTGCTGATGCGGGCCTCCGCTGTAGAGAAGACAGAAGGGTCCCTGTCTCTGTCTGGGGGTCGCTCACGCCTGACGTATCTTGGCTTTCTCACTGAAATAGGGTCAAAGACAAGCTGAGTCAGAGATTGGGTGTGTTCAGGTCTTTGCCAGCACCACAGTCTCTCAGGAGCACAGTGAGCAGTATGACTGTTTATTCTGACAAGGAAGTAAGATGCTCCCATCAGGCTCTTCTTGGCAAATGGCAATTTCTCCTGATGGAGAGGTTCTATGAGCCTTGCTGCTTCCTATCAGAAATCTAGACCCTATATCCCAGCACCTGTGTCTGGATCACAGCTCTGCCATCCCTTAAGACAGAAGAACAGGCCATCTCTGCATCATGTACTACAGAGAGCCAGATGATACTTTCAAAAGATGGAACCATACCCTGAGCCTTGGAACCCATTAACATGACCCTCATTTAGAAAAAAGGGTTGTACAGATATGATTCAGTTAGGATATCAAGTGAGATAATACTCCTAGATTATCCAGGTGAGTTTTGAAACCAATGACTGGTGTCCTCCTCAGAGGGAAAGAGAGGCATAGGAGATGTGGCCATAAGCCATAGGAGGTATAAACACTAGGAGTTAGAAAAGGCATGAGGGATCCCCCCCCCGCCCCCCGGGCCTTGGAATGCATGTCTCTCACCTCTATATCTTGATTTCTAACTTCTGGCTCCAAGAACTATCAGGGGATACACTCTGATGTATGGAATACATCCCTCACAATACCTGTAAGGTCCTGGGCAGGGGTCAGAGGGTGGAGGGGATTGCAGGACAGGGAAGGCTGGGAGAACTTGAGACAAGTATTGATTGGAACAAGGCAGGTCTAACTTCATCAAGGAGCTATTTTATCTCCAAAGGAGAAAAACACTGGTTGCCTGTTCTCTGTGTTAGACCTCTATACAGTGAATTTACTATGAAACAGGGAAGGAGGTTGAGTAAATCTGCTCTGGAGCTTATAGCTGTGTAACTATGGGCCACTCACTCAACCTCTCTGTGCCTGTGACCTCTTCTGTACAATGGGTCACAAGTGTTCAGATGGACCTGGAAGGACAAAACTTAAGAGGGGACCTGCTCCCTACAGCTCTCAAGGAGAGCTGGACTTGGGCAAGGGCTGGAGGTAAAGCAGGGAGGGTCTGTCCTTATGCTGAAGAAAGGAGTTAGCATGGAAACTATGGGGGCTGATGAGGAGGTGGAAGGGTGGTGCCTACTAAGCACCTCTCTTGTCCCTACCTTGTGTGTGTGTGTGGAGGGCACCGTCTCTTTAGAATGTGTGAAGGCAGGTCAGGTCCCAGAGAGGGGCCTATATGTTTGGGGACAAACCCATAGAATAGATTTTGAAGACTGACCCACAGAAAGACCCTCCTCCCTCCCAAGATGATGATGTACTATGGCCTATACCTGAAGACTGTGGCGGGGGGACCATCGCAGCCTTGAAAAGAGAAAGGCAGAGTGAGACTTGGGTGGCCTGGCACAGGCACACACAGCCCAGGTAGCTCAGCCCAGCTGGGTAGGTTACTTACAGTTTCACCAGGCTGCAGGACAAGGGCTGGGGGAGGAAGAAAATAGCATGTCACCCTATTGCCCAGCAGCTGCCTTGGCTCTGAGTACCCTGAGCACCCTGAGCATTGGCAGCTGCTCTACCATATTTCCCATCTGAGGGACTCTGAGCAACTGGGCCTAGGCTCAGACACTCAGCTACAACAGCCTCCAAAGGTACTCTACATTAGTGAGCATGGGCATAGGGGAGTCCCTGTGCCTGCTCTGTACCCACTAAGCTGAGTGGGGACAGACTCTGGTAGGCACCCTGGGGCTGGGCAGGTGGTGCCTTGGTCACAGTGGGAAGTACCTCTGTCTCTTCTGTAGAAAACCTTGGGAAGTTTACTGGAGCGCTTGAGGTAGAAGAATCCAGCCACAGAGAGGATGAGGCCTGTGCTGATGAAGAGTGTTCCCAGGAAGAGGGAGGCTGCCACATGAGGACTTCCTGCAGGCAAACCAACAGCTGCCAGTGGAAAGCCTGGGCCTTGGAGGATTGGTGTCCAATACTCCTCACTTAACCCCTGTAGCTCACCATTCCCCAAACATGCCTGAGCTCTGGTTAGGGGCCAGTCATAAGTAGAAATGAGGGTTCTACACTCAGGCTCCACAAGTCCAAGGGCTTGTTTATAGGCCCTACTCTAAACACCACTGCTCTGTGCAACTGGTTTCCATAGTTGAGGCTAGAACGGAGCCTGAGGCCACCATAGAGTTCAAATGTACTTTCTAGTTGAGAGAGGGGATAGGTTCTAAGGCCCCTGGAAAGGACTGAGCCCTCTCAGAACAGAACTCTGAACCCAGGATCCAGTACTGTTGAAGGATGAGGGTCTGGGGTAATGTGTCTCCAAAGTGACTGAGTCACCTCAGCAGAAACAGTGATTTCTGCTGCCCCTGTGCCTTGGATCCATCCTCTCCCCTATCACTAGCATCAGTCTCCTCTCCTGCTTACACCTCTTGCCTGGCAATGCTGCCACCCCAGCCATATCCCCAAATCCTTCACTTCCCAGGTCTTCATTTTAAGGTGGGCTCAAAGGCTCTGGAGGCATGGATACTAGGTGACAGGGGCTGTCCATGGAGAATAGATCAGGAGGTATGGCCTATGTATTTGCAAACAATCTCAGAGGCCTACATCCTGGAAGAGCCAATTGTGATTGGACAGTATAATCCTCAGGGTCTGGGGGCCAGAGTAGACATGAAATAAGACAAAGGCCAAACATAAGTGGGCAGCAGTGAAGACTGCTGCTAAATGAAGCCCTCTGGAGACTATGAAGTGCCCTCTTCCCACAGCATACCAACACATGCCCACACCAAAACCAACTGACTCCAGCCCAAGATCTGTTCTATGACCAGAGCTCCTGCTACAGAGCTCCTTCCAGAAAATCCTTAACTATGGATATGCCTACTGTGGCCTCAGTGGTTACCAGTACCAGCTCTGACAATGCCAGTCCCAGGAAAAGGCCCAGGTCTGGTCTTGTAAGCTGAGAAACTTACCAAAATGTGGCTGTCCAGGTGCCCCTGTGCTTCTGTTCATGGGAAACTGCATGCCCTGTCCAGAGACTGTGGGAGAGTAGAACTGAGGGGAGGCCTGGGCCATGTCTAGACCCCACTGAAGGCCTCCACATATAGTCTAAAGGAACATCTCAGTTCAGAGCTGAGAAAGCAAGGGGCAGCCCTCACCCACAGATGTCCTCAGTGAACAGAGCACTCAGAGAGGACTCCTTAGGGCTGCTCACTGATGGACAGTGCTCCTGGGCAAAGTGGGTCCCACTGTTGAGACAAGGACAGTGGTTTCCTTGGTTTCTCCCCATACTGAACAAGGGGACCCCTGTGAAACACAGGAGAACTGGGGTGGGCAGCTTGGAGAAGACATACGACTTCTGCACTCAGAGCCATTGTATGCCGGGAGGGTCCCATTCCAGCACCGGACACAGCTGGCATTCCCGTCTGCGTTCCAGTGCCTGTAGCAACCTGCACCAAGAGGAGAAGTGGTTTCTCTGTCAAAGTAAGTCTAGGTCGGGTGACTGTCTCCTACAGGGTTTTCTGTATTTTGATTTGTAAAATAAGTCAACTCAAGACCACTAATATGCTGTGGAAGTCTGTAGGGAACAACAGGTCCAATCCAGAAAAAGAAACAAACCTAACAAGAAGTATTACACCCCTCACCCAAATTCCTGTGGATGCCTGCCACTAAACAGCCATTTCCTTTACTTACTGCATGCCTCAGGAGACTATTCAGAGGTTCCTAGGATGGGAATCTAAAATTAGGAGGTACCACGTGAAGTTCTGACCTCATCCACCAGAACTGTTACCTCTGGGACACAATACAGCTGCCTCAACTGCTGTAAATCCTCACTGGGTATACATGGGGCAGGTACAACCCTAGGTTTGTCTGCTGCCACTAAAATGTTTCCCAGTGTCTCTGTAGCAAGATCAAGTCAAATTTCCATCCCAGACTGGCAATGACCAAAGTCCTACCTCCATTCTGCCAGGTGCTAGAAGTGGAACAGCCTACACTAGTGTTTTATGGACAGCTGTTTTCCCACTGGTTAGGGTACTTTGAAGGCCCTATATCCTTAATTCTTTCCAACATTCCCAATAATTAGCACAGAAGATGGGTAGACATATGCTCCATAAATGTTGACTATGGGTAATAGAAACTGAAGGTAGACACTGGGCAGTACATGGAGCTTTAAACCACATGTCACTGGACCTTCATGATGAATACTGTAATATTTGATCTCAACAGATGGGCTTTGGTCAGATGAAAGCCTTTCTGTGGTTACAGAGCAGTAATGACAGTGATAGCGGCCTGAGAGGGGCATCAGTTTCACCAACGCTGTGTGCAAATAACTACACAAGAGCGGAGTCCAGCTACTCAGTTCTTGTGTGGAGGCTACCTGCTCCAACGTGGAATCATAAGGTGAGGAAAAAGTCTTCTACAGTGGCCTAGTTCTTCTCTCCTTGGCACTTAAAGGCATGAGTAGATTTCATGGGAGGTACATATGTCTACTCAACTCAAGACTAAGGAATGTGGTGTAAAATTCAGTATAAATCCTCAGTATAAAACCCAGCAGCAAGACAGATTCTTCCCAGAACCATATCTCCTATTGGGTTCCTGTGCTGAAAAGCAACCGACTCTAGCAAGGGTTGCTGCTGGATTGCCAAGCATGTGCAAGGACAAAGGGTGTCCAGAGAGCCATATGGTAGCCTTGAAGGCCTGTGGAGCTCCTATGTCTCCTCACATAAACCTGGCTATCTCCATCCCTTCCCTGATGCCCAGAGCTACCTTGGACTTCAGACCCTCACAAGATCCACCCTTATTCCAGTCCCTTTATGAGTAGCATGGCCTTGACATAGCTATTTGCACCCATTTTGGCACTTTTAGATAGTGTGCAGCCCCATGGGAGATACCAGGTCCCAGGCACTTCTGCTACTATGGAGGAACCCAGGGAAGTGGGCTCTAGTCCAACTGCCAGAACTTCAGGTTAGAGGGTTGATGAAGGCCCTTGGCATCCTCAATTTTCTGTTCACCCCAGAAATACATTCTTCCCTTTGTCACTGCACTCAGCCTTGACCTTCCCTCTATCCTCAACATCTTGGCCATGTCCTCCCATAGCACTGGACCAGTATTCTGGGGTGCCTGTCTCTCTGAGCCACCCTTCTAGGTTCATGTGGTCTTGAGTGTGATGGAACTTAGAACAGGTGCCAAGAAATGACCCTTGCCAAATCAAGGGATAAATCTGGGCCACTCTAGTCCAGAGAAAACAGCAGCCCAGTGTCATCCCAGTCTAGGACTGATGACCTTTCCTCTCACAAAGACTTCCAAGGCAGGAAGGCCAGGAAAGTGGGTGGTCTTGACAAGTTCATGCTCTGGCTGTCCCTATCTGACTTCTGGTCACCAGCCCTGACCTTTTTAACTGTCTCCAGAAAAATCTTATCTTCATAGCCTTCTAGAACCTTCTGTGGAACAGGGACCTCACCGTTAGCATGCTGACATTGGGATGAGATTGTCCTCTGTGGTGGAGTCATACTGTGTTCTGAGGTTAGTGAACAGTACTCCTGGTCTCCACCTCCAGATGCTAGGAGTATGCCCCTTGTGGTGGTTTGAATGAGAAATGTCCCCGATAGGCTCCAAGTATTTGAACACTTGGTCAGTTGATGGTGCTGCTGGGGAAGGTCATGGAACCTTTAAGAGGTATGGCCTTGATGAAAGAAGCATGTCACTGGGGGTAGGCTTTGAGAGTTCATAGTCTTGCCCCACTTTGGTTTTTCCCTCTGCTTCCTGTACTTGCTTAAAGACTTAAGTGCTCAGCTTTCTGTTCTCGCTGCCTCCTGCCATACCTCCTCAACCATGATGGACTTTTATCCCCCTGGAATTGTAAGCCCAATAAACTCTTCCTTCTATAAGTTATCTTGGTGTTGGTGTTTTATCACAGCAACAGAAAAGGAACTGACACATCCCTCAACCTACCTAGTACCAGCTGTGATGACCAAAAATGCCTCTAGACATTGCTAGATATCCTACAGTTAAGACACTGCTAGGGCTGGAGAGATGGCTCAGCTGTTAAGAGCACTAACTGCTCTTGCAGAGGACCCAGGTTTGATTCCCAGCACCCACATGGCAGCTACGAACTGTTCTTAACTCCAGTTCCAGGGGAATCCAAAGCCCTCTTCTAACCTCCATGGCATTGCACAACATGGGTGCACTCACATACATGCAGGCAATACACTCATAAACATAAAATACAAATAAAATGTTCAGGGGCTGGAGAGATGGCTCAGTGGTTAAGAACATTGGCTGTTCTTACAGAAGACCCAGGTTCAAATCCCAGCACCCACATGCAGCTAACAACTGTCCGTAACTCCAGTTCCAGGGGATCCAATGACCTCTTCCATCCTCCTCAGGCACTGTACAACATGGGTGCACTTATCTACATGCAGGCAATATACTCATACACATAAAATAAAAATAAGAAATAAAATATTAAAATAAATAAAATATTAAAAAAAGACACTGCCAAATGCTGAGTGTGGTGGTGCAGGCCTTTAACCCCAGCACTTGGGAGGCAGAGGCAGGTGGATCTCTGTGAGTTTGAGGCTAGCCTGGTCTATATCCCAGCTGGGGCTACAGGGAGACCCTGTCTTAAAAAGACCCAAAACAAAACAAAACAAAAGACACTACCAAGAGTTCCCAGAAGTGCTGTCCTGACTTGGTCTCTTTATGAGCTCTGCCTCCTTCCTGTGCCTAAGCCCCCCATAGGCCTCCACAGGCCCTTTTCTGGACCATGAAAGGAATGATTAGGTTGTTAACAAGAAAGAGGCTCAGGCTTTGCCCAGTGCCACAGCCTGTGCTGCCCCCAGCTCCTCCTCCAAACCCTCAGTTGTCTTGTTACTGAGAAGACGGAGTCATCTGGGGATATTGGTGACTTCCTGATTGGTCTGGTATCTGCCTATAACAATATGGCTTACCTGGGCCACACAGGCCTGAGCCTGGGCAGGTAGCATTGACATCTACCACATCCATACAACACTCGGGTTGCTGGGCCTAGAGAAGAGACATCAGTGAGACAGGCTAGCAGCGGTGCCTGAGTCAGGCCAAAGGCAACATTGGTTATAGCAGGTCTCAGCACCAACAGCTCCAAAATGATCTAAGGTCAGGTGACACCATCCCTATTGGTCCAGGAGTAGACAAGTACTCCTGCCCTACCCCTACTGCAGCCTGTGTTGGCAAAGCACAGGGAAAACCTCAGCCTTGGACAGAGTAACCAAACCTGGGAGGTAAAGGTGTTTGCCACCAAGCCTGATAACCTGAGTCTGATCCCTGGAACCCACACAGTAGAAGGAGAGAACTGACTCCCACAAGTTTTCTTCTGATCTTCACATGCATACCATGGTACATGCAATTATATAATATATATAATTGTTTTAAAAATGATTTATATTTTTATGTGTATGAGTGTTTTGCCTGCATGTATGTAAGTGCACCATATGTGTGCATTGTCTGCAGAGACCAGAAAGAGGGCATCAGATCCCCTGGAACTGGAGTTGTTAGCCACTATATGGATGCTGGGAAGTGAACCCCAGGTCCTCTGCAAGAGCAGCCAGTCCATATCATAACCCCAACCTGGCTTGGAGACCACAATAATGGCACCAGCTCTTTAGACATCAAAGCTCAGCCCACTGGAGTGCCACTGACTTGGTTTAACCACATCCAGTGGGAACTGGATCTGCTGAGACAATGCTCCAGCCCCAATAAATGTTTTTTAAGAAAAATACACAAGTCAGGCATGGCAGTACATTCCTTTAATCCCAGCATTCAGGAGGCAGAGGCAGGCAGATCTCTGTGAGACTGAGGTCGACCTGGTCTACATAGTGAGTTCCAAGCCAGCTGGGGCTACAGGGAGACCTTGTCTCAAAAACAAAACAAAACAAAAAAAAACTAATAATAATAATAACAATAACAACAATAATTTCTTAAAAATCTAACTGGGAAATTGAACAGCAAACCCCAATCTTATCCAAAGGAATATTGACAACTGATTACCCCTAGATGAGGAAGAGCTGACCCTCCTAAAACAAAGACCTATAGATAGGGTGGCTAGATTCACCAGAAGGGCAAGTAGTGGGGAATGGCTGGGGGAGCTGACAACACAGCAGACAGTAGCAGGGATATCAGAGTATAAGGGCTCTAGTGGGGGGAGGGAGGCTATGGGAGGGTACTACCTGGGAAGTGGGTGTATAAATAAATAAAAAAAAGAAAGAAAAAATCTAAAAAACAGACACAAAAAAACCCTAAGAAACAGAAACTCAGCTGTAATGACCAAGTGTGCCAAGGTTACCTTGGAAATACCCCACCCCTAATTGAGGTTCCTCCCCCTTTGTGCACATCATGAATGCAGTATATGAGGTTGAGGGTTTGAGTTGAGCCTGTCTGAAACGCTGTGCTGGCCAGGCACTTTATCTGGCACTAAGAGGCAAACCCCAACTGAGAGTTGAGAGAATTGGAGTTCTCTGAACTCCAGAGAATACCAATGAAACTCCCAGAACTTGTGGGAACAGGGAGTGCTGAGCCTTATAAACTTGCATTTTATCAAGGACTAGCAAGATAGGTGTCCTTTCCCATAAAGGAGTCACTGGAATTGGTACTGTAGTAGACTCAACTGGTTGGGATACCCTGGCCTGATTTAACTCCCCACAAGGTCAGAAGCAGAGACTGGAGATCAAGTGGAAAAAGCTACCATTATCTCCCAGTGAGACCCTGAAGGGCAGGAGCAAGAGATCCCAGAAATGCAGGGCATTTTAAACCTGGGGAATGTTCCTTAGGTCAGGCAAAACACTGCCCACCCAATGCAGGCAAAGAAAGATTTCTTCTCCCTAGCCCTATTGTAAGTTCATGACTTAGGTATCTCCAATAGAAAACTGGTTAACAAGAGAAAAGCAAACCAAGGACTGGTGAAATGGCTTAATAAGTAAAAGCTCTTGCTCCATAAGCCTGATGACCTTGAGTTTGATCCCCAGAACCCAGAGTGGAAGGAAAGAACTGACTTCCAAGAGTCATCCTCCGACTTCCATACACATGCACATATATACACACGTAATAATAATAAATAAAATTAGAGAAAAAAAACAACCTAATAGAAGTTGTATGTGTCTCAAGAATTTTCATAAAGAAACAGGGATACTTACATGTTTATGCTCAGGTTTGGGGAAGAGGGATGTTTCTAAGGAAATGTGGTTAGACAGAGGGTATGATCTGATGGTCATAAACCAGGGACCTAGCCAGTCTGGTCAGTTCAGATTCTTGTTCCTATCTCTTCAGAGACAAGTGCCTACCCCTTCAGCATAGGAAGGGTACTGCTCTACCAAGGCCTTGGCCAGCCCATGGGGCTAAAGGGCAGGAAGTAGTCAAATAACTCATTCTACACTCTCTCCAATATCAGAGTATTCTTTTTTTTTTTTTTTTTTTTTTTTTTTTTTTTGGTCTTTTTGAGACAGGGTCTCCCTGTAGCTCCAGCTGGCCTGGAACTCGCTATGTAGACCAGGCTGGCCTCGAACACACAGAGATCGGCCTGCCTCTGTCTCCCAAGTGCTGGGACTACAGGTATGCGCCACCACGCCCGGCTAGAATATTCTATTTTAAGGCACTGTGTTCTGAGCCACACCATTCAAGGCTGCCTGAGACTCAGGCCTCTAGGCCAGTTCATACTAGTTCACTGGGTCTCATCCTTTCTGGCCTTGGGAGACCAGGTAGCTGACATGGGACACACCTGGATGGTTGTCTCTAGGCCAGTTCCATACTAGTTCACTGGTTCTCATTCTTTCTGGCATTGGGAGGCCAGGTAGCTGGTATGGGACACATCTGAATGGTTCTGGCTCTATACTTGATAGTTTACTCAGTCATAAGATATTCACTGACCATGTGCTCTGCACAGTTATAGATAGACCTAGGGCTTACGGGGGAAGGACATGTGGGATGGTAATCCATGTGATATGACAGAAATGTGATCTAGATGCTTATAGAAACAGCCCCCAAAGAGGATAGCCTCAACTCTGTTTACATCTGGCCCTGTTTACATTTGTTTTTAAGACAGGGTCTCGGGGCTGGAGACGTGGCTCAGCAGTTAAGAGCACTGACTGCTCTTGCAGAAGACCTGGGTTCAATTCCCAGCACCCACATGGCAGCTACAAACCATCCTTAACTCCAGTTCCAGGGGACTCCGAAGCCCTCGTCTGACCTCCGTGGCATTGCACGACACAGGTGCACTCACATACATGCAGACAATGCACTTATACACATAAAATAAAAATAATAAAATATTAAAAAAATTAAAATAAAAAAAAAGACAGGGTCTCAAACTCATGATCCTATTGCCTCAGCCTCCTGTGAGCTAGGAATACCGGTGTGCCCAGTGCTTCTGTTTCATGTGACCTGAGCTTGGTTACTAGTGAACCATGTCTAAGGGGTAACACGGGCACAGGGGAGTATCCATACCACCATGGACGGGATCAAGGCCCAGTGTCCAGACTATTCCTTAGATTAGCCTTGGTCAGGACAGTGAGGGATTCTCCATACCACTGCAACCTGGCTTGGAGACCAGACTAATAGCACCAGCCCTTTAGATACCAAAGCTCAGCACACTGGAGTACCATTAACCACAACCAGTGAGAACTAAGATACCTGCTCATGTGAGTCTACCAGCCACTAGCACTCTTGAATAAGCAACAACTGAGAAGGCAGTTCTGGGCTACATGCAGTTCTGGAAGATAGCTCTGCAAAGAATATGTCAGCTATAGCAACAAATAGATTTGGCAGAGAAACTTCTAAAAGGCAGAACCAAGGTCAGGTACCTCTGACCCTAGCAGTAGACTCCATGTGGACTCCATCAGGGTTGGGGCTAACATCAGTGAACCCGAAGTTCGAAGACTCAAACCTCTATGGGAGAAGAGTCCAGTGTCTCTGGAGGCTTCAACTTTCTGCTGCTAGCCACAGGTAGACCTACCTCGCTTTCTGTGGACTTGCTGGTGATGCCCACCAGGAGGCCAGTCATGAGCACGAGGCATTGCAGTGCCATGCTTGGGGAGATGACAGCAAGATCTGCAAGAGAAGACAGTGTGCAGAGAAGAGGTAAGAGGTGGGTGAGGCTGAGAGGGGCATGACTGGGAAAGGTAGGGCAGGGCTGTAATGGGATGAGTAGGATAGCCTTCCAGGGTAGCAGTGGTCAGAACACCATTACCTGTCCCTCCAGGAAGATATCTGCAGGCATCAGGCCCTCACTACCTGGGGATCAGTGGTCAGAGTACCATTACCTGCCCCTCTAGGATGACATCTGTAGACACTGGCCCCTCGCTACCTGGGGATCAGTGGTCAGCATGGCTAGGGCTGAGAAGCCATGGGGAGCTCATGGACCTGACCTCTACACACTGTTGGTCTAAGACTCAAAATTTACAAATCAAAGCAGATGGTCAAGGCCTGCTGCTGGTCACTGAGAGGGATGACCTGGTGCTTCCTCCAATAGCATTTTACCATTGGAATTCTGGAAGCAAGGCCATTTGTGCCTCTGATTTTTCCAAGATGTGTACGTGCATGCACACACACACACAGACACACAGACACACACACACACACACACACACACACACACACACACACAAACCTGTCCTAGTGAGGCCCTAATCACATCTTAAGCATTGTCATGGAGCGTTGGTTTTCCTGTGGGTGGCTAGGCATCTGGGGTGGACGTTAGTACATTCGGAACTTCCAGTGGTATAGTGTTTTCTCTTTATCAATTTGGGGAAACAAGTATGCAAAACCATGGTCCGGAAAAATACCAGAGCTTAAGAATTTATAGTCACAAGAGGAGGATCCAGAGAACAAAGGAGCACACACATTGCAAGCATATTAACCTTAGAATACTTGGTGCCTGAAAGCTGCTGGCTTAGTGCTTATATGCCTTATTTCTAGTATCACAAAGGAAACTTGTACCTACTATAGAGTCTTGAAATAATATCACATGTGCAACAAGATTTGAGCCAGGCATGGTGGCACACATCTTTAATTCTAGCACTTAGAAGGCTGATAGATCTCTGTAAGTTCTGGGCCAGCCAGGACTACATAGTGAGATTGTCACAATTTTGTTTTGTTTTGTTTTGTTTTTTGGAGATAGGGTCTCCCTGTAGTCCCAGCTGTCCTGGAACTCACTATGTAGACCAGGCTGGCCTCGAACTCACAAAGATCCACCTGTCTCTGCCTCCCAAGTGCTGGAATTAAAGGCATGTGCCACCATGACCAGCTGAAAGGGAAGTTTATAGCTCTAAGTTCCTACATTAAAAAAATCAGAAAGAGGCCAGGCATGGTGGCGCACGCCTTTGATCCTAGCACTTGGGAGGCAGAGGCAGGCAGATCTCTGTGAGTTCAAGGCCAGCCTGGTCTACATAGTGAGTTCCAGGACAGCTGGGGCTACAGGGAGACCCTGGCTCAAAAAAACCAAAAAAAAAAAAAAAAAAAAAAAAAAAATCAGAAAGAACACAAATAAATGGCCTAACATTGCAACTCAAGACTCTGGAAGGCAAGAACAAATGAAACCAGAACCCAGCAGATGAGAAGAAATAAAAATTAGAGCAGAAATTAATGAAATAGAAATGAAAAGAATACAAAGACTCAATGAGGGCTGGGTGTGGTGGCGCATGCCTTTAGTCCCAGCACTTGGGAGGCAGAGGCAGGGGGATCTCTGTGAGTTCAAGGCCAGCCTGGTCTACATGGTAAGTTCCAGGCCAGCTGGGGCTACAGGGAGACCCTGTCTCAAAAAGACCGAAAAAAAAATTAATTAATTAAATTTAAAAAAAAAAGTGTGGTGGCGCACACCTTTAATCCCAGCACTCGGGAGGCAGAGGCAGGGGATCTCTGTGAGTTCAAGATCAGCCTGGTCTACACAGTGAGTTCCAGGCCAGCTGGGGCTACAAGGAGACCCAGTCTCTAAAAAGACCAAAAAAAAAAAAAAAAAAAAAAAAAAAAAAAAAGAAGAAGAAGACATCCAACCAGTATTATTTAAATTATTAAAAATGATAGAAACAGAGGGAGACATTCCTTCTGTGAAGGAATTCCAAATTCCTTCTATGAAGGCTGCATCACTCTAATACCCAAACCGGGTAAAGATACAACCAAAAAAGAAAACTATAGACCCATATCCTTAATGAACATAGATGCAAAAATTCTCAATAAAATACTTGCAAATCTCATACAGATGTATATCAAAAAGATCATTTATCATGATCAAGTAGGCTTTATTCCAGAGATGCAAAGATGGTTCAATATACACAAGTCAATAAATGTCATTAATCATATAAATGGACTCAAAGACAGAAACCACATTGTCATCTTAATAGATGCAGAAAAGGTTTTTTGTGTCCCTAGGGGCACTTATTCTTGGGGTGGGGGGGCTCCAGAGAATTGGCTGTGGAGAGTTAACGGAGGAGAGGAAGCTGTGGAGGGTTAGCGGAGGAAGGAAGAGCATTGGCACCACTTTTGGGACAGAAGCGAAGGCTGGGCGGAAAGAATGGCCCCAGTGTTGGGAGGGGGCATTTGCCGACCTGGGGTGAGACCTTGGGCCCACAAATTTGTGGGCGAGCTACATTCACCTTTTGTGGAGCACTGGGTGTTTGCCTTTGGTTTTTTGGGTTTGTTTTTTTTTTTTTTTTTTTTTTGGGTTTTTTTTTTTTTTTTTTTTTTTTTGGGTCTTTTTGCAACAGGGTCTCCCTGTAGCCCCAGCTGTGCTGGGATTAAAGGCATGCGCCACCACACCTGGCTGGGTGTTTGCCTTTTAAGTTACTCTATTCCCCATACCCAGGATATAAACTATGAAAAATTCAGATAAAGATGTGGTATGTGGTATGTGGTTTGTCTACCTGCATCAGGAGCAAGGGACCCTGAGAGAACTCGGGGGACAGTGTTCAACAAAATTCAGCATGCATTTATGATAAAAGTCCTAAAGGGAATTGGACTGGAGGGAACATATCTCAACATAATTAAAGCTATATACAACAAACCCACAGCCAACATCATCCTAAATGGAAAAAAACTATTCATTCCCATTAAAATCAGGAACTAGCCAGGTGTGGTGGCACATGCCTTTAGTCCCAGCATGTGGGAGGCAGAGGCAGGAGGATCTCTGTGAGTTCAAGGCCAAACTGGTCTACCTAGCAAGTACCAGGCAAGCTGGGGTTAGAGGAAGACCCTGTCTCAAAAACACACACACACACACACAAAAAAAAATCAGGAACCAGACAAGGATATCCATTCTCTCCACTCCTTTTCAATATAGTGATTGAAACTCTTGCTAGAGCAGTAAGACAAGAGAAGGAAATTAAAGGAGTACTAATTGGAAAAGAAGAGGTCAAGTTATCCATTTTTGCAGACAATATGATACTATACTGAAGAGATCCCAAAAATTCCACCAGAAAACTCCTAGAACTGATCAACACCTTGAGTATAAAGTGGTAGGTTACAAGACGAATCTACAAAAACCAGTAGCCTTTCTATATACCAACAACAAGCAATCAAGAAACCTCAGAATAAACCTGACCAAAGACATCAAAGATCTCTACAACAAAAATTTTAAATCCTTAAAGAAAGAGATTGAGGAAAATACCAGGAGATGGAAGGACCTCCCATGCTCATGGAGTGGAAGAATTAATATTGTGAAAATGACCACCCTACCAAAATCAATATATAGATTCAATGCAATCCCAATAAAAATCCCCATGACATACTTCACAGAATTAGAAAAAAAATTCTTTAAATTCTTTTGGAAGCATAAAAGACCCCAGATAACCAAAGCAACCCTGAGCACAAAGAACAAAGCTGGGGGTATTACTATACCAGATCTCAAACTATAATACAGAGTTATAGTCATAAAAACATCATGGTACTGACACAAGAATAAACACATAGGTCAATGGAACACCATTGAAGACTGAAACCTGAGTACACTCAATTTCAACCACCCGATATTTGACAAAGGTGCTGAGAACATACAATGGAGGAAAGACAGTATCTTCAACAGTTTTGGCAAAGCTGAATCTCCACCTCTAGAAGAATGAAACTAGATTCTTATCTTTCACCTTGCACAAAAAAAGTCAACTACAAATGGATTAAAGACCTCAGTGTGAAACTGGAAACTCTGAAACTGTTAGAAGAAAACATTGGCAGTAACTTACAAGATATAGGTGTAGGAAAGGACTTTCTAAATCAGACACCAGTTGCTCAGGAATTAAGGTCAACAATCAACAAGTGGGACCTCATTAAACTAAAAAACTTCTGTACAGCAAAAGAAAAATCAAGAAAGTGAAGGTGGTAAAAAATCTTCACGAGTGACACATCTGACAGAAGTTTAACATCCAGAATATATAAAGAACTCAAAAGACAAAGAATTGAGAAACCAAATGACCAATTAAAAGATGGGCTAAAGATCTAAACAGAGAGTTCTCAAAGGAAGAAATGAA